TTTCTTTCTTTCTTTCTCTTTTCTCTTCTTCTTCTTCTTCTTCTTCTTCTTCTTCTTCTTCTTCTTCTTCTTCTTCTTCTTCTTCTTCTTCTTCTTTTTTTTTCTTATTTCATTTCTGTATTTGGTACAGGGCCTCATTACTCAGCTTGGACTGGTAGAGATCTTCCTGTTTTCAGCCTCCCCAGCGCTGGAATTGCAGGCATCTGCCTCCATGCCTGGACTCAGTCTCCAGTTTACCTGCCCTCCTCCCCCATGGGGTGGGACCTGCATGGCATGTGGGACCCGGGCTTGAACCCTGGTCCCTGCCCTTTTCAAAGCAGGCGCTTAGTCTGCTGAGCTATCTCGCCGGCCCAAAAGGAGTTTATTTCTCTTTCAAATCTTTGTAGATTTGCTGAGTGCCTGCTCCTGTAATATTCACTCCAGGACTTAGAAGAAGCAGTCGTATGTGGTATAAGTGGTTGGTGGTAGAAGAAAAAGAAATGGCAGAATACACAATGGCTTTGAAGCATCTCTTCAGACTCTCATTGATTTCTTATGTCACTTTTCCTCAGATTTAATGGGCCAAAGCCTGAAGTCAATGCGCAGAGAGCTATGTGATCAAGCGAAAAATAGTTGATGTTAAATTTTTTTAATGTATGGCAGTAAAAGGCACATTGCCATGAGCCTCCCTCAGAGCCCTTCCCCTCGCTGGGAACACGCTTGTCCCATCTCCCTGCTACATTCTGAAGCATCCCTGAAGTCCTCGTTTGTGAGTGCCTTAAGTTGCACTGTCATGGCTGCCTCAATGTCCTGAACCCAATCAAAGCATTTCTCTTTCATAATCATTTTGATCTTGGGGAAGAACTAGAAGTCACAGGGTGCCATATCTGCTGAATAAGCTGGATGAGGACACACAGTCAAATTTTCAGGAGACTAAGGAGACGAGTACTTGGCAGTATCATTCACCATTTTTTTTTTTTTTTTTGTTTTTAATTTTAGGCAAGGGTCTACGGGGTGTTCAGGGTCTCACTACTAGGTCGGACTCATAGTGATTCTCCCATTTGCATAGCAGGCCTGGGGGATTCACCACATTTTTGATCACACCTTAGAAAGACACTCAGGAAAAAGGACTTCCAGAACTGCTTCAGAAAGTGGCAAGAGGGGCCAGGGAGATGGCTCAGTAGAATAAGCACTTCCCTGGCAAGTGCAAGGGCATGAGTTCACTCCCCAGTTCTGCCAAAAAAAAAAAAAAAAAAAGAAAGAAAGAAGAAAGAAGAAAGAAGAAAGAAAGAAAGAAAGAAAGAGAAAGAAAGAAAGAAAGAAAGAAAGAAAGAAAGAAAGAAAGAAAGAAAGAAAGAAAGAAAGAAAGAAAGAAAGGGGCAAGAATGATGGGGCAAATGTGTTCTAGGTCAGTGGACTATTTGGACAGGGTTTAATGACAGTGTGTCTCACTGTCATTCATTTTTCATTTAAATATTCACTGTATTTTTTTTCATCACTGTTTCTGTACTCCTTTTTCAGGGAAAGGAAACAAATAATTGGAAGTAATACAGCCTAGTATAGTCCATACTCTGGATCATAAGTATTTGGTTTTCTCTGTATATTTCACTGAACAAAATACTCCAGTCTGGGTACTTGGAAGAAATGTGTTTAGCCCTCAGTGTTGGAGGCTGCACGTCCAAGATCAGGCCGCCTTACCTGCTCGGCCTCTGGTGAGGCACCAGTTCTCAAAGGGCTCCTCAGCTTTGCCACAGAGAGGGGAAAGATTCCAACACGTAAACTCTGGGTGCCAACTGCATCAAAACCACGGCACCCTGCCTTAGTCACCAAGTGTTCTTATCCTTACCAAGGGAGAGGCTCCTGAGGAGATGGGGTCAGACTCACGACCTCGTGGTAGACATTAAATCTACATGTGGTGCCTCTCCACCCAGAGACATAGGAGCTACAAGGACACACTAGCCACACTCTCAATCACATACACATACATGTACACACACATATACACATGCATGCACACATACACACAAACAACATGTGGTAGGCAAAGATCAAGCAAAATTCATCTAAAACATTCCCATCTAGAAAGCAAAAACTGGGAGACACTTAACAGTCAGAACTTCAGAGCGATTCTGAATCCCATGGACAGACTTTTGTGTGAAGAATTTACACTTCTGGAATTTACACTTAATTTTTATTGGTCTCCATAACTCCTGGCCTCACCTAGTAGGAAATTGATCTTTTTTTCTCCCTCTTCTCCTTGTATTCATCTGATAAAGGCATTGGGAAATAGGCCCTTCTTTTAACCTGTGTAGCTTGGCCTCGTATTTGCTTGTACCTGCAGGCTGGAAAGCCCAAAAATAATTTTAGTTTGCTGTTGCTGATTTTCTTCTTGGTGGTTGCTTGTTTTGTTTATAGTACTGGGGATTGAATCCAGGGCCCTCACACTGAGCTACATCCCCAGACTATTCTGTTCTGTTCTGTCCTGTCCTGTCCAGTCCTGTCCTACCCTATTTCAAGAAAGGTTCTCACTAAATTGCTCTGTATGCCAGGCTGCCCTACAATCTGTGGTCATCCTGCCTCAGCTTCCCATAGTCCTAGGATTATAGATATGAGCCATCACTCAGGCTCATTCTAACTTTTAAATACTATAGTTGTAGCATCTTTTCAACCAGAGATGTTGGCCCCTGTTCAGCACAGCTCTGCCAAGAATTTACCTATTTTTCTATCTGACTCTAGTCAGTTCATGACAAATACCACAACCATGATTATTTTGAGTCCTAAATCTCTCTGAATATAAGGATGGCTTAACATGTGCAGAGGTTTGGACGAGGAACATTTTGTTTTAAAAAGCAAGTATTGTCATTTAAAGAATTCATTGGTTTTCTCTTCCTAGCTAGAATATGAGAAATATTTGGCTTCTCTCAACCCCACAAGACCGGGAATCCCTGGGCTGTCTTTGTTCCCGGCTTGCCAGCCAACCAGTTCTTTCCTGAGCTCATCTCTTTCTTTTAATACCCTCGCAGATATGCCAAGATGCATCTAGTTACAGAGGCCAATGATTACAACTGGAGCATGCTGTTTCCCAGACTTGTTACTCAAGCCCAAACCCAGTTGAGGTATCTGTCCTCCAAATTATCAGAGGCAGCAGTTTTACCCCAAGCTCGCCAGTCCCCGCCTCAGTAACATCTGGTTGTTACTTCCCACTGCCTGGCCCAGGAACTAAGCATCAGATTCTATAGTCGTTGCGATGCTGTCCTCTTACTTTTCTGTTCTGATTGCTGTCTTGTCTACTTAGACCAAGGACCAAGTTATGCCATGGCAGCAAACAGATCCCAGACCTCTATAGCCAATAACAGTAAAGGGCACTGCTTGCTCATTGTTTTCTTTAGGGGACAGCTGTGTGTCTACTCCACTTATCCCCTCTCTGAGGCTCAATTTGCTGCATGTTATTCTCCCAGCAGAGGGAAAAGAACAAATAATAAAAGTACACATAACTCTTAAAGCTTCTAATTAGATATGATTTCTGCGATTTCCACTCACGTATCACTAGCTGAGTATGTGACATATCCAGACTTGATATAAATGGAGCGGGAAAGCATAATCCTATCACTGAGAGAGAAACTGAATAGAATGAGAATTCCACACCTCCCCTTCAGCTGCTATTCTTTAGAAACTCAGCCTTGCACTCTGGTTTTATCTGATAAGGGTATTATTGGAACAAGACACATACTTCCATATTGTATCAGTCCATTTCTCGTTGTTGTAACAAACTACCTGAGGCTGAATATCTTGTAAAGGAAAGAAAGTCACTGAGCTCATGACTCTGGAAGTGAAAGAGCTTGAAGCTAGCTTCTACCATACTCTGGTAAAGATGTCCTGGCTGAGGTCACAGCAGTAGTCTAAGGGCTTTCAGGGGAGCTGACCCAGGGAAACAGGAGAGCAAGGGTTGGACTCAGTCTACTGTACAAACACCCATTCACAAACACCAAGAAGAGTCCCACAATGCCTGCCCTAGTCCCTTTCAAGCGGATGGTCCCCAGTGACCCAAACACAGTCCTCAAGACCACACCTCCTAAAGGGTCTGCTGCTGCCTAACATGCCCAAGCTAAGCACCAAGTCTGAACTCCTGGTGGACCAAGCCCTCAAACCTCATAGCACCTCCACACTTCAGACGAGACAGAAAGTACTGGTTTCTTGGAAGATGGTAACATTTTGAGAAACATATGCATTGTCTGCAGTGTGACACAACTCTGGAGTCCACAAGATGTGGAGAGTTGACAGCAGATGGCTGGACGAGTAGAAAAACCAAACGAGCAGGTGGCATTTTTGCTCCTAGAGTCTAAATTGAGGGGGCTATGTTCCACTCACTGTATTCCCAATACGTCCCTGAAAGTTCGAAAATATGCTCTGAGCTAAATAGGATGAGAAACTGCTCATCTGATATCCTGCAAGCTGAGATAAGTTTCGTGAGGGGTGCTCTGGAGCTGGCTGGTGAGGCCTGAACTGAGCTTTCACACATCTGTGCCTGTGGTCACCTCACTGTTCTTTCTCTCCACAGTTCGACATGCAGAGGATAACCTTGGAAGAGCTGAAGCACATTCTCTACCATGCCTTCCGGGATCACTTAACAATGAAGGACATTGAGAACATCATCATCAACGAGGAGGAAAGCCTGAACGAAACCTCGGGAAACTGCCAAACAGAGTTCGAAGGAGGTAGGTGCCCCCGTGTCCTGGGTAGAGACAGGCCTGGGCCAGCCCTGATAAGGTGAATGATGTGTATACAGTCTCCTCCGAGAAGTAGTCGTGCACTAAAGCAAAAGCAAAAAAAAAAACAAAACAAAAAAAAAAAAAAAAAAAAAACAAAAAAAAACCAGGACTGAGTTGAAGGTCTCTTCTGTTAAGATTCAGTGGATTTCTTTTCCTGTTTTTGTTTTCTCCCATACTCTACATTTTTGCCGATTGCCCACTGACCCCGAACTTCCTCTAATGACTCTGGGGTCTGAGATTGGTCGTGACCTTTGCCTGCACTCAGGGGAGGTGGGAGCTGGCTGCATGGGGTGGTGCAAGGAGTCTCTCGGGGCTGTCAGCAAACCTGGACTGAGTCCACTGGCTAATTGTGTGACCTTAGCCCAGGGCAGGCCTGCTCCATGTCTCCTCATCTATAAGCATCAGGAGAATTTCACCGATGCCACTGACTCCTTAGACGTGGATAACCTCTGTCCTCTCTCAATGCCCAGACCAAAAAAGGCCCAGGGATGAAGCCCTTTCATGAACTTAACCAAGTCATTACAGGAGAGAAATAAGTTTCTAATGAGGTCAAAAGAGATCCAGGAAAGGCCACTTTTCTTGGGCATAGGAAAGAAAACTCAGGGGAAAGAAGCTTACCTTATCTTCTAGGAAGCTCAAAAACCTCATCTTTCTCCCCAACTCTAAAAGTTAGAATCAACTGTGATGGACAGGAGAAAATTTGTTTTTATAGTTACATTAAAACATCACAGCAGGCTATGGGTAATTCATTATCCTGGTTCAATGCTGAAACTTCTGGCAGGGGTGCAACTATTTTGTCTTTTCTTTTTCATAAACAATTAAACAAGTCAGTAGCACAGTGGGTACACAGTTCCACAGAGAGCAGATGGCATTCGGTCACCTGGTCCTCAGCTGCTGCATGAGACCCAGCCGAGCACCCTGGCGGGGAGGCAGCTGAGAACTGGGCTCATCCAGGGTGGCTGCTGCTCCCTGAGACCTGGGCTCCCATGGGACCCACCTGGGCTGGACAGTTATTGCATCAGCACCACAATGAAAGCCCACCAAAAGAAAAAACAAGAGCTGCTTTCCATGCCTGGATTACAGACCAAGCAGACTGAGAAACAGGGAGTGGTGGTCAATGGAGTGAAGTGAAAGAATGGTGCCCTTCCAAAGGCATTCGAGTCTAGTCTCTTCAGAAAGCCATGACATCCAAGGAAACCCACTTGTGTTCCAGAAGCTGCCTGCTCTCTCTGCTGGGTGACCTGGGCTGCAGCACCCATGGCTGTGTTTGGAATCAGGGCCACACATCCTGCAAGGGCAGGGTCAGATTGGCACAAGCAGCACCATTTGTGTAGGATGTTCAGGAGGTGGGGGGGTGAAGAGGGTGGAGCTTAGATGAGACCTTGGGACAGCACCAGGCCTATCCTCCCAGTCCTGACAGAACACCGCTCCTGTGTCCAGAGTGTTTAGGGCTCTGTCTAGCTGCTCACAGTCTAAAACGTACCTGAGATGGCAAGAGGCAGTTCCCTGGGCATCTTGGCTTCCACAAGAGCCTTTGCTTGGGGATCAGTGTTTCCTTCAGAGAAAGGCCGCATGCCTCTGCAATCTGGGAAAGTTCATGCTATGCAGGAACGTAATCTAAATTCCAAGCAGTGCCATAAACTCATGTATTAAGAATATACACACCTGACAAAGGAACTTCCTAACAGAAGTCTTACTAGGTCTGCTGTACTGGTTCATACATATGACAGTGGCAACAGCTGCCATTTGGGGAGTAAGTAGAAAGTACTAGAAGTCATTTTATTGTTCAGGAAAAGAAGCATTATTTTATAATTAGCTCATTATTTTGCATGCTCATTTTTGCAAGTTTTTATGTCAGAGAAGTATGTTATTTAATCTCCATTAATTTAAATTTATTTCATTTTTATCAGTATATATTTGGCTTTCTCTCTCTCTCTCTCTCTCTCTCTCTCTATATATATATATATATATATATATATATATATATCCCTTTCCCTACTCCAGCATTACTTTGTTCTTTACATTATTGGTACCTGGGCTTCTCATATAAAAGAAACCATGCAGTATTTAACTGTCTTTGTCTGACTTATGTCATTAATGTCATGTCTCAAGGTCAGTGGACTTTCCTATAAGTCATGAATTCCCCCTTCTTTATAATGTCAGTGCGAACCTACGCACAAGCTCTTGGGCTCAGGCTTGGGTTTAAGAATTTCCAGTTCCTAGATATGACTGATGTGACAGGTGCCACAGCCCCCTCTATGGTCAAGAAAGGACCTTCGAGTGATGTTCTGGGCAGCGCTGTCCAGGAAGAGATGATGACACAGTCCTGTCCCTTGCACGGGGCTGTCCTCTCCCTGGGGACAGAAGGAATCCTTGAGACCTTTCACTTGACTTCACAGCTACCTTGCAGCGACCTTCTGGGGACTGGAAACTGCCACATCCCCATCCCAACCATATTCAGATGCGCCTACTTCTTGCCTGCTCGATTCCCTCCCCTCAGCCTGGAATCCTTGGGGGGCCTCCCCTCCCCGGGCATCAGCTCCCTCCAGTTGCCCAGGCCATCCGCCCCTCCTTCTGTCCTCCCTCCCAGGCCTCATCCAGCACTCCCCCTGCCCTCTGCCAAGGCACACCTCCTCTGCCTTCTTTACCCCAAATCTTAGCAAATCCAGCATCCAACCCCGAGGGGACAGGCCCTCGCCCTTACAGTTCTCAAGTACGGAACCCTTTCCGCTTCAAATCAAATCCTCACAAACCCAGACTACAGATAGAGAAGAAGGCCAACAAGACTGTCCCCAGCCCCAGGGAGCACCCCCAAGCCTCCTGAGCTTGCAGCCATGCAGTTCCCCATGGCAGGGACAGAACCTCACCTGCACTCTGTGCTTTCTGGGGTTCAGAAACCCTGTCCTCTTTGGCAGGACTGAGAGGAAGGAATTGATAAGGAACCAGAGCCTCCGGGACTCTTCTCCATCAGACTCTGAGCCAGGAAAGAGGAGGCGGGCAGAGGAGTTGACAGTCTGTGGCAGTCAGAATTTAAAGAGGCTCTCAGTTACTCTTCTCTTGTTGCTGGGACAAATACCCGATACTCAAAATGAAGGAAGGAAAGGTGTATTTAGCTCCCAGTTACTGGGGGTTTCAGTCCATATTCAGCTGGCTCCAAGCAGGGCAGTACATGGCAGAGAGCAACCTTTCATGGTGGCAGCAAAGAGCAAGAGAGCAAAGGGTGGAGTAGCAGCAACCATGGCAACAGAGAGGAAGTCTGTCTCTCTGTCTGTCTTGTGTCACATTCAGCCTATCCTCCTCATGTTCACTGTAGCACTCACACCCATAATCCCAGCAGTATTCAGACCCATAATCCCAGCGGATCACCTTTAATCCCAGTGGATCATGAATTAATCTCAAACTTTAGAAGTCCCCACCCCATGACTGCATGAACCTTTGAGGGGGACACCTAGGGACAAACCATAACAGGCTCATGTCAGAGGGCTCTGAGCTCCACAGAAGTGGAGCTCGGGTGGAGATCTGGGTGGGTGGGAAAGGTCTGAGAACACCTCCAGGGACAGTGCCTGTGACATGGAGTCAGGGACAAATTAACTGCCAGCTGTGGTGGCATATGCCTGCCATTCAGCACCTTGGGAGGCAGAAGCAGGAGGACTGAAAGTTCAAGTACTACTTAAGCAAATCAGGAAGATTTTGTTGCCATAAAGTTGTTTTTAAAAAAAAAAATATTTTTTTTAAATTAGCTTAGTTTACAGATGCTGGGTTCAACCCCAGTATTGAAGGGATGGGTGAGGTGAGAGGAGAGGGTGAAGGGAAGGGACAGGGGGCTGCCTTGAGCTGCCTTGATTGTATTTTAACTCCATGATCACATTTCTCATTTTTCTAAATCTTGGGTCTGATACTTTGCTCAAAAACATTCAGTTTCTGCTCATGGAGTTGGGAAGCATCCAGTGTTTCTTCTATAGGAGAGGAAGGATAAAGAAAGAGGAGCAGAACAGACCAGGAGTCCATGGCATGTGGTACTATATTTTTTATTTTTAAAGAGAATAAGAAATAGTCAAAGTAAACATTAGAAATGATGCAGAATTTCACGTTTCACTAAAGAAAATAATAGTTCAACCATGGTTGTTAGATTGCATCATATTGTCTTCAAATGAGTTGTTTAGATTACCAGATAAAGCATACAAAATTGGTAAGAACAAAAAATTTTTTAGAAAGTTGTAAGAAATTGAAAAGAAGAAAATCATCTAGGCATTCACTGCTCCTCCCAATAGGCCAGCAGAAATCTGCAGCACAGTTGTCCAAGGTATCCTGTGTACATATAAATGTAGCTTTTTGCCTTGCTTCTGTCTTTTTGGGGTCATTTTCCTCATCCCAGTTGTTCTTTCCCTTTGCACAGATTCTTTCCCTTTCACAGTACTTAGTGTACCTTCCAGACTGTATGTACTCTTTCAGGATATTACGCTAGCGAGACTGTACAGCATTTGTACATGCAGGTATGGTTTATTTCACTTACAAGTATGGGCTCAAGTTGCATCAACTGACCTATGAAAGACTTGAGTTTATCTTTGCTTATAGCTGAACGATACTCCGTTGTATAAAAGTGTCACATCTTTGATGGGCACTTGGGTTGTTTCCAAGATTTAGCTAAGACAAAGTGCACTGCTAGAAACACGGGCACACATATATTGCTGTGGTATGATTTGTTTTAGTTCTTTTGGAAAAATACCCAGGAGGAGGATAGCTGGATTGAATGGGACCTCTAATCCTAGCTTTTTTGAGAAGTCTGCACACTGATTTCCACAGTGGTTGTACCAGTCTACACTCCCATCGACAGTGGAAAAGGGTTCCTTTTTCCCCACAGGCTGTGGTACTTCTGTTAGGAAACATTTTTGATTAGGGGGCCTATCTTTTAGGTTTTGTTCTGGCTTGAATTTGTTGTCCTTGCT